TCTAATTCTGACAAATATCCATATGTTTATTGCCTTTAAGGTCTCCATCAGGTATTTTACTTATATCTGTTTCAATTATATCTCTGACTGTGACCTTTCCTTGTTCTTTCTTTTGGGATGAATTCCTCTGTCTTGGCATTTTTTCTAAGTCTCTGTCCTCTATGTGTTAGAAAACCCTATTATGTTTCCTACATCTCAGAGTAATGGCTTCATGAAGAAGATGTCATATAGTGTCCAGGGCATGGCCCTTCAAGGGGTGTCTCTGGTGTCTGTTGCATTTACTCTGATGCTGTGTTTCAGCTACTGTACCTTTCAAGTCAGTATCTGCAGAGGCTCTCCATGCTTGCAGTGGGGAGTATTTGGACTTTGGCCATAGTGTATCAAGTTTTAACAGGTGTGCTCTGGTTTTCTTCTTAAATGAGACCTGATGCTACTTCCACTAGAACTGAAGCCATGCTGAACTCTCTGGTCAGTAGACGTGGTATATGTGGGGATATCTGCTGGTCTTCTGGGTATGGGACCCATTGCACTAGGACTTGGGCATACTTTTCCAAGAAAACTAGTACCAGATGAGCACAGGGGGAGGGGTGGGACTTGTTGTAAGCATATTAGGCAGCCAGTGTTAGAGCTGTGCTGTTTACTGCAGGTGTTTCTGTGCTTATGCTGAGGGGTAGGGGAGGGAAATGACACCAGCTGGCTCCTTTGTCCCTGGAGAGGGTCCTCTCTGCTGCTGCTCTCAGGGAAACACTCCCAGAAGAGCAAATAATTTCCTCTTGTGTGTCCATGTCATTTTTCAAAGTGCCATTTTCATACTGTCTCTCTCTAGGTCACTGGCCTGGCTGGAGCAGTGCAGTACACATTAAGCTCTTTCCCAGCCAAGCCTGCTGACTTTTTAAAACCCCAGACTTTAGGGAACTGCTGTAGTGGGAGCCAGTGCTGGTCTTCTGTTCGAGTGTCTTGTTATGCTAGGAGGGATGCAGATTTGACTGAGAAATGCAATCACTCTATGCTAGAGCTCAGGTGAATGCCATCTGGAGCAGGCTAAACAGTATCTGAGTTAGCCACTCTCAGCAGGTGTCTCTATGCCTATGATGAGGGGGAGTGGAGGGAAATGGCACCCACTGGCTTTTTGTTCCCAGAGAGGGATCTCTATGAATATTGCCTTTTGTACATACACTCCCCCAAAAAAAGAGCAAACAGTGTCTCCCTCATGTGCCTTATGTGATCCTCAGCACACACTGTCTGCCCTGGGGTTGTTTCCCTGCCTGTTCTCCAGGAGTAGGGCAATACCTTCAGGGCTCTATCCCTGCCAAGCCTGCTGACCTGTGAACTCCAGACTTTGAGCTCTGCTGTTTGCAAAAACTCATGAAAATCAGCCCCACTTGTTTTTCCAGCCAGTGGCTTTGGGGCAGTGTTCTCCTTGTGAGTTTCCCTGTCCACTCCTCTCTCTCTTTTCTTCACAGCTGGGTCTCCCCTCCACAGCACCAGTGATCCATTTTTCTGCACTTCCTGCCTTCCTAGATGTGGTCTCTTCTGTCCCTCTAGTGCAGTTTGTTCTGTCAATCAGGTCAATTTCTTGTATATCCAGAAAATTTTTCTAGTTATCTAGTTGTGTTCTATAGCACTTTGTCACTTTCAAATGTGCTTTTTGTGATTGCCATGCAAACTTCGTAGAAATCCCAGTTATTTTGTGTTTCAGAACAAAACCCAAAACTTGCTACAGGACAACAGCTTATTTATTATAAGAGAGATAATTGTTCTAGTTCCAGTTTTAGAGTACTGAAAGCATGGTGTCATTTTAAAAAAATAAATGAAAGTCGAATTTTTTAAACATTTCCAGGACAATAAGCTTCTAATTATTTTTAAAATGTCTTCTGGATTTGTTATTATTTGTGTAAAGTTAAACTATATGCATATATTACAATTTTGGTAAAGAATTATTAAATACAAAATAAGTTTATTGAAATGCATTGCTTAATAAAAGTGGAAGGACGCAAGGTTGAGCAACTGGATGTTGACTTCTTTAGAATTATTATTACTTGTGAAGAGGCTTCTTGTATCTTTGTGCATGCTCTAGTTAGAAGACTGCTGCTTTCAGTAATTGTGCCTTGTATAGGAGATTATTACAATTACCCACCATCATTTAGGGAGTAAGAGCAAGCACTCTAGAGGCAGACCACATGGGCTTGAATTCCATCTCTGAGTCCCAGCTGTTACTCTTACTAATGACATGACATTAAGAAATCTGCTTAACCCCACTGTTCCTGTCTTCTCACCTGTAAAATGAAGATAAAAATTGGCTGTTGCACAGGTGAAATAAAATACTATTTCTAACATGCATAGAATAGTGTTTGACAGGGGCACCTGGGTGGCTCAGTCGGTTAAGCGTCCGACTTCGGCTCAGGTCATGATCTCACGGTTCGTGGGCTCGAGCCCCGTGTCGGGCCCTGTGCTGACAGCTAGTTCAGAGCCTGGAGCCTGTTTCAAATTCTGTGTTTCCCTCTCTCTCTGACCCTCCCCTGCTCATGCTGTGTGTGTGTCTCTCTCTCTCAGAAATAAATAAAACATTAAATTTTTAAAAAAAGAATAGTGTCTGACATATGCAGGTTGGCTGTATACTCAGTTCTACATAATCTTTTGACTTCTATTGAGAATTTTATAGATATGTCTAAAAGTAAGCATTTATCAGGCATATTTAAATAATTAGAGGATTATCTATTGATACTTATGTCTATCTTGTTTGATCAGATAATTTCCTAAATTTTATGTAATAAACTAGTAAAATTTTTAACAATGTATGTATATGTCTACATATATTTGTGTGCACATATATGTCTATTTAAGTCTATGAGTACTTAGTCTGCCTATGACAGGGAAGCAAATTATCTTTTGCCACAAGTCTTTAATGAACAACCATGTAAGTGAAAGTTAAATTTGACAGATCAAGAAAAGCAAAACCAACTCTAAAACTTGTCTTTGCAAAGGACTTAAGAGTTATGAAGATTAATAAACCAATATTGAAAATAATCTGTATTTTTAAAAAACATAACCAACAATCTCTCAGATTTGAAGAGATGCAGTAAATTCAGAGTAACCTATACAAGGAAGTGACATAGATAACAGAAAAAGTAGGAAGTTGTAGGGAGAAAATAAATAGTTGTTCATATCTTAAATTTGTAGCTCATTTAATAATTAGCATCTAATCAGAATCAAATTCAGATATTAGGATCCAGGTTATAATGTCTTTAGTATTTCTAAAAATTGCTATAAAAGTCATTAAGTGCAAGCTGATAAGCTGACTTGACTACTAGAAATTTTTGCTAACACTCCCTGACCTGAACTTTAATAATTGTTAGGAAACTTAAGGATGTAATTATTCCAGTATATATTTCTTTTATATATCCTGTTTAACAGAACCAGTAATTTACCATTAAGATATTCAAGTATACTTTTATTTATATTTATGTTCACCTGCTTTTTCCCTAGTACACATTAATTGAATAGGAAAGAACTGGAAAGTTGAGAACTTTGGACTGGATATTGGTATTTCATAAGACAGGACAGTTTCTCTTGAATTTTATCAGGGATTTCCACCTTTGTAGTTCCACGTCTCCATTTAATTCAGTAATTACCTAGGAAGTTTAAATTCCCTTCCCACCAAAGTTATATGGCATTTGAAAACTTTTAGTTAATTAGGAATAATTTTGTTGTGAAGGTTATTATACCTTTTGAAATTATTAGTACCATACATCCTAAAATATCCCAAAATAAATGGGAATCATTGTTATATTCATGTAAAAACATTCCCTACATAAAACAGAAACCTTCTTAGACTATTACATTTTTTGGTGCACCTGAAAAGAAAATTTTTATTTTACGTCACATGGTTATTAAGAGTCATCAATTTATGCTGAGATATATTTTTAAATAGTTGAATGTGGGATAAACTTTAATAATGAGAACCTGCTTCTGATGTTGACTTCCATGATAAGCTTTGAACTGTCTTCTGGGATTAAAAAAATAAAAAGTCTGCTAGTCTAAACTTTCAGAAAAGAAGTGAGTGTATTTTCCTACTGGTGTTTTAGAGGAAAGGATTTCTTAGTATTTATACCATTCTCTAACATATTATTTTGCTATTATTCTATCCTGCCCCAAGCCCTTTCCTTGACCATAAGAGTTTCTAACATTTAGGGATCCCCTTAGTCCTTTCTTTCAGTACACAGGAATTTTTGTCCATCCTTTATGTTTGCTGTTGACCTCTAGCGATTCTAAATGCTACAGTGCTTCACTCCTATGCAGGGCCCTTTTTGTGCATGATACTCTCTAGTGCAAACATTCTCTGAGGCTCAGACCCAATGAATCTGTAAATGCAAAAGGAAAGTGATTTGGAATTTCTGAAAATATTATAAACTGCTTTAACTTGTGCCATTTTATGGACTTTAAAGTATATGTATCACTCTAAGCCAATAATGTTCCCCCAAAAGGCTTCTTAGAGAACCCTATAATGAATAGATGATATGTTAACTTATCAGTAAAGTTTGTATAAATGAATTCTTCTCATATGTTGAAGACTATGAAGTGTGTTCTCTAAGTAAATAAATATTCCATTCTCAGCCTTTTTTACACAGTTATTTTACTTAGCAATCCTTTATCCAGCCTCTTTGGGAATGTTATAAGGATAAATTAAGCTCTTTCTACAAATAGTTTCCTAGGCTTTTCTACTCTGCTAGTTTTACAAAATGGACCATCAACTACTACTTCTCTTGAGTCTTAGTGTGCTCTTAGGTATTAGTTAACACATATCTTAGCTATTAACACATATAGCATATTGTTATGGATTTTACATGTCTCCCTTCACTAGATTATAAACTCCTTAAAGGCAGGAGCCATGATGTGCTCAGATCTCTATTTCCTATGGCACCAGTTTAGTGCTTTGAAAATGAGTATTACACAGTGAAATGTGTGTAAGCAAGAATTCAAAATATTATTTTTTTAAACAGATTTGGTTCATTTAACTTGTACATCTTCTAAAACAGCAAGAGAGGATTTAGAACCAGTTGTGCAGAAATTGTTTACTCCATATACTGAAACGGAGATAGGTAAGAATAATAATCAACGATTCATGATGGAAAAGTAACGTAACCACATTATCCCTCTTAGATACCTTATGAAGGTTTCTGCAACCTGGACTGAAATGTGATATATTCAGCAACAATCCTTACATGTTGTAGTAGCATGAGTGAACACATTCTCTTCCTAAAACTGGGGAAATATTCCACTCTATAATGGTAAAGGAAAAATATAAATTTCACACACATGTTAATTAAGTGCAAAAATACACATTTATATGTGTACATATTCACATGCATAGAGAAAAAGACTGTAAATCTCTTAGTTTTGATGGAAAAATGGACAACTGTTTTTTTCATTTATTTTACAGATATTATATGAAAGATTATATATTCCTTTATCAGAAAAAGTTATCATTTTGAAAAAGCTGATATAATATTAAAATATTAATTGACAAATGTAGGAATCCTTCCTAATAATTCTCTTTTAATGTGTAGCTTGTTAGTGATGTAATAAATATTTAACTCTCAAAATATATATGCCACTATGCTATTTATTCATGGGGGAAAAATGTGTTTCAACCACAATTTTTTTTAACTTTTCTCCTCATATCATAGGGTAGCTCTTATACCTCTGAATGGAGCAAATTGTGCTGTATTTTGTGTGTAAATGGTAAAGTAGCCTGATGGATATTATTCATTTATATGAAGTGAGGGTGATTTTTATTATATAGGATTTACCTGTCCACTTGAATCATGACCAGTTTCCTCACTGAATCATATATCTATATTTCCTTTGGATGTTATGTTTGTTCAGGCAACCATTTATTTACTCCCACCTATTGTATTTTCTTTTAGTTCATCTCCTATGTGTCTTTTTTGTTTTCTTCCTGCAGAGATAGTACATAGAGGGGCATTTATATTTATATAAGTAAACTCCATTTTCAGGAACTAATATCAGTATAATTAATTAATTTCTTTTTTAGCTGCCTGAATAAAACCCTGAAATCTGAAACTTTATTTCACTTTAGTTTGGAATTTAGTTTGTTTCATATTTACATTTTATACACTGGGAAGTGTATATAAATGTTTGCATTATTGTTACAAATCTGATTGCAAAGTTATGATACATGATAATATTTCTAAACCTAATATGGAATTATGGATTTATCCTTGGCTTTAATTGCTTTGCTTATAAAAACTCTGAATTTCTTCCCTGTTTCTGAAATTTTTCATGATTTTTCGTTTTAATTTCATTGTGTGGTAGTCTCAAATAATACATTACATTTGAATCTTGTATCATTGCTCTTCACTTTTTAAATACATTTAATTTTCTTTTAAAAGACAACAAGCTGGGCAAATTACGTGTTCATTACTTAGCACTCTCTAGCCATTTTATATTTTTAAATATTACTCTTAATGTTTAAAGTGATCCCATTTTGAAATGATGTATTGTTTAGAATCTGACTGAAATTCTTTAGAAAGAACTGTGTGCTCAGAGGAGTCTTCAGGTGCACTGAGGCACTGAAAAGCTAGTTTTCACTGACACATAGGCCTTTTTATCATTAGGATGAGGTAGTGGTCATACTTTAATTAAAATGTCAGAACAAATACTGCTGGAGTTATTGAAAATGAATCACCAGATAAAGTGAGCACTGGGCCATGGCAGGTCAAAGAGGCAAAGTCACCAGGAGAAAAGAACTCAATTCATTTTCCTGTCTAAATGAGAAGAAAGAACTTTATGAGCAATATCAACTTTTATTACATTAAAAGCACATTCTTCTCTGTAGCAAAAGCACCTATTTTCACAGATTAATGGCTTTTATTATTATGTTTTAATTGCTTGACAGTGATATGAAACCTTATACTTTAGAGCATTGTCATTATTTTGTTTTAAAATGTGTGCCAAACGAGTGATATTACTTGATCTTATTTTCTTTATCTTTTTATTTGAGTTCTACATTCTGTTTAGTGCTGTGCTTCATAAGTCTTTCTGAAAGTCATCCTGGTTGCCTACAAAGAAGTTTATTTGTTGTAAAAATTAGTGTTCTCTTCTCAAATATAGTACTTCTTTGTTGGTGTATCTGAGAAATACCAGTAGAGTTGTGAATGATATTCCCTCTATTTCTTCTCTTACTTTTTACATTTAAGTTATCACTTAGAGCAGGGCACCTGGGTGGCTCAGTCGGTTAAGCCTCCGACTTCGGCTCAGGTCATGATCTCACGGTTCGTGGGTTCGAGCCCCGCGTCGGGCTCTGTGCTGGCAGCTAGCTCAGAGTCTGGAGCCTGTTTCACATTCTGTGTCTCCCTCTCTCTGACCCTCCCCTGCTCACGCTGTCTCTCTTTCTCTCTCAGAAATAAATAAAACAATAAAAAATATTTTTAAAAAAGATATCACTTAAAGCTCTTGTCATATGTTCTGTCTTAAGAAACAGTTGAACCAATATTTCCAAGAGAGCCCTACCTCCCAGGCTTCTTTAAGAATATCAAAGATCTCTAAACCCTTCCCTATTTCCAAGTCCAAAGAAATTTCATATGTTTTATGCTTAATGAACCTGATTATACATGTGAAAAAAAATAGGTGATTGCTCACCATTCATACTAGTCTGGATTAATTCTTCCAGACTACAGAATATCCTTCAAAGCACTGAGTGAGCAATAGTATAACTACCCTAAATGATTTCTTATTTTACTCAGGAAATTGAGACTTTCTATATGAATTGAAGCAAGAATTGTGTTAGTACTATATCTTGAAATGTGTATAATGTAGTATCATTACTGCACCATTGCTGTTCTTTCTGTTTTTCATTTGGGCATGGCATGTGGAATTATCTCATCCTATCTCATTCATTTCCTACCTCAAAAAGGTAAAAAAATGCCCCTCATAGTGTTATCTTGAGGTCCATGGCTGGTAAAGATGTTAAGTAATTGTTGGACTCAGAAGTCAAATATCTTAATTCCTTTTTGTATTCCTTTTTGCTATTCTGTTACTAAAATAGTCTCTTCCTAAATATGGCATGTAACTACAGGTCATTTATTGCCTTTATTTGGTATGCCATTGTTGATTTTTTTTTCTGCCTACCCATTTAATTTGCCCAAGATCTTATTCTAAATTACCTATTACATGTTTAGTCCTTTACACTATCTAATTGATGAAATGAGATACTACAGAAAATCAGTTCTACTCCTGGTCAGGTGATATATTCCCAGGCAAACCTCAGCAGCTTTACTATTTATTTTTGACAGCTGTGTACTTCACAACTGCATGTTATTTTTCCAGCTATCTCTCAGCCTTCCACCTGACCTCAAAGAAAGATGAAGCAATTATATGTCTCTTTGAGGGTTTTAAGGTCAAAGCCTGACAACTCCCTTCTATCTAGAGCATTTATCTTCAGCCTATGTCAACTTTTCATCATCTTCATGGTTCCTTCTCAATGCTTCAATCTCAGTGAAATTTCTTTCCTATAATCTATTGGATTATTCATTTTTCCAAACTTCTGCTGGGTAGAAGCCCTGCTTTGAGCTGGAACTTTCACAGAGTACAGGATAAATTCTCTTCATGTATGCTTAGAAATGGACTGGGCAATATTAAAGGAATTCCAGACCTTAGCCCACTTTTCCACAATGCTCATGGAGTCTGGTGTCGCAGATCACAGGCGGTATGTTTATCTTTCTGTAAGATTTAGTGAAACTAAAATTAATCAATAAATTTACTAAGAGCCATATGGTTTTAGCTGTGAAATATGAGTTCCTTATGTTCCTTTATTTTGTCAATAAATAGGCTTCACCATCTATCATGTGTTTACATGAAGTTAGTGATACCTTGGACTCCTAGATCTTAGCATTAGGAAGAGGCATGGTAAGGGATCTCTTCTTCCATTCATAGCTTCTTTGTCCTATCACACTAATAATAATGTATTATTCAAAATAAACTAGAAAAATAACATAATTGGTAGTTAAGTAATAGAGATATTTTAAATTAAATATAACAAAATACTCTTTATCCTGAATTGGGGAATTAGGTATTCTTGTTAATTGAATATTGCAGCTGGCTGTGAATTTCTCTATAGTGATTTCCAGTTTAACAATAAGAGCTAATTAACTAGTTACACCTTTAGTATTTTCTTTATGATTCACAAGGTGCCCCATGGTCTTGGGTAATCTTCATATACATCTCGGGTTGAGCCTTTTATTTTTATTTTTTTAAGTTGCTACTAATTTATTATTTTTTCTAATTTTAAAAATGTTTATTTTTAATATAATTTATTGTCAAATTAGTTTCCATACACTACTCAGTACTCATCCCAACAAATGTCCCTCTCAATGCCCATCATCCACTTTCCCCTCTCCCCCACCACCCATCAACCTTTAGTTTGTTCTTAGTATTTAAGAGTCTCTTATGGTTTGCCTCCCTCCCTCTCTGTAACTTTTTTCCCCCTTCCCCTCCCCCATGGTCTTCTGTGAAGTTTCTCGAGATCCATATGACTGAACCTTTTAATGAGCACATTATTTTTTTTAATTTTTTTACATTTATTTGTTTTTGAGAGACAGAGTGAGACAGAGCATGAGCGGGGAACTGGCAGAGAGAGAAGGAGACACAGAATCTGAAGCAGGCTCCAGGCTCTGAGCTGTCAGCACAGAGCCTGATGCAGAGCTCGAACCCACGAACTGTGAGATCCTGACCTGAGCTGAAGTCTGACACTTAACCGACTAAGCCACGCAGGCACCCCCATCATATTTTGATTATACCTGAAAATAGGATTAAAATAAACTTAGAAATTGTTCATTGAGTATCTTTTATGTGCTAGGCTTTGTATTGGGGAATATAAAAAATCAGAAGCCTAAGGACTAAGTCTACATTAGCCCAATGTCTAACATACATAATAGGTGCTTGCTGTTAAATGAGAGAATGTGTGCTAAAAACAACTTGAAGTCTCACATCTTTATTTTTGTTCCAATTTTAGTATATATGCTGCTGAAGCAAACACTCGCAATCATATTTTTGTTGTTTGCCAATTGCCATTACTTTTATAATCCAGTAGGACAAAGTGTCAGTAAGTTAGGATATCAGTGTTTTAATCCCATATATACTATTTTTAATAGTGGCTTTATTAAGATATAATTATGAATTTATTGAGATATAATTCACATACTGTACAGTTCACCCACCTAAAATGTAAAATTCAATGTTTTTTAATATGTTCGTCATCAAATGGTTCAACCATTACCACAGTCAATTTCAGAATATTTCCGTCACCTAAAATAGAAACCTCACACCCGTTAGCAGTCACCCTTCACTTACTCAAATTCCCCCAGCTCTAAGTAACCACTAATCTACTTCCTGTCTCTATAGACTTTTCTCTTCTGGATACCTTATAATCCTGTATATATCATTAACTTACTGTATATATTTTTCAAGTTGATTTGTATATGTGAAACATAAAAAAAAAATGTGTTATCTTCTTCACTGACATAATTTAAGGATGAATGATACTGCTGAGGAGAAATGATAGAAATTGAAGAGAATACAAATGGTGTTATATCTAAGTAACATATTAGTAATCAAAATAATTTTTTAAATTTTACTTATCAGAGGTTGAAAACCCATTATTGCTTGAAATATATCTGCGTGGATACAGATTTACTATCTTTTTACATACAAAGCTCTGATTTAGTACACTATACAGTCATGATTTTGTTAGCTACATATTGTATTAAATGACAGGATTATTGTGCTTTAGATGTGACTAAGATTTATGTCTACATTTAGAAAATGAAGAAAATGAAAAACCAAGACTTCTGTGGGCTCTTTACTTTAATATGAGAGATTCTTCAGATGTCAGCAGGAACTCTTATAATGATTTACCATCCAACGTTTACGTCTGCTCTGGCCCAGACTGTGGTTTAGGAAATGATAATGCAGTCAAATAGGTAAGGCTGTTGATGTTTCTCAATTTTGTGTTAAAGTTGGTGTGGTAAGGAAAGTAAGTTGTTTTTTCCTCTGGGATTTGGGAAAAAAGACTGTAAAAGCATCTCTGTCATTTAATTACCACCTCTGTAATTTGCCCATAAACTTTTTCCTATGAATGACAAAGCTTCTTTAAATATACTTGAAATATAATATCCAATATTTTTACATTCTTGACTATAACAGTGAATTTCAAGAGAGCATTTAGGAGTTCCATTGTGGGAATAAGGATGGAAGATGTTAGAAATACAGATTCTGAAAAATGAATTTATAATGCTAGTCTTCTAAAGAAACTTCGTTTATAATTTAAACTGTGGCCTCTTATTATTTTGAAATACAGGAACTGTTTTTCTTTGTTAACTTCTGAGTCATTTCAAAAGGAGTAACATTAAGTTAGTAAGTAATTACATATAAAATGTCATTTTTAAATGGTCTTAACACATTTTTTTATTTTGGAAAAGAACATGTAACTTATTTTTTCACAGTTAACATGGTTTCTTTAATGTTTTGACACAAGCTGGTGTCCTCAAACCTACTGTCATAGCTGCTGAGGAAGATGCTAATGAAAGTGGAATTTTGTGACAGCACTTCTGGGCAAGGCTATGAACTGGTAGAGCACAGGCTGAGAAAAGCTGCCAAAAGTGAACTATGATTCCATTAAGATGAAGATCCAGGTGCATATATAAATACATTTCTCTGCACTTGACAAGAAAGAAAAACAAAATATATTTTTTGAGGCACAAGTCTAAACTTTTCACAGATATAGTTGGCATATCTATGGAACCAATAAATGGATAATTTAACATTATTTTAAAATCACAGATGTAAGTTTCAATCCAACTAGCAGCAGGGATCTTGTAGAAGCAAATGACCTCATTGACCCTTTAATTTTTAGTCACAGTGGCAAGGCTATGACCCCATGCATCTATAGTTTTTGCCACATTGTGTTTCTCATCTTGAGGCTAATGGTGATCCTGGATAATCCTATTCAGCCAGTGATATCAAAAGTGGGAAGTCCTCCATCATTTATTCTATTAGTTTAACAGGAACCCAAGATGGTTCCAGTTCACTTTAAAGGGCATCAGTAATAATATTTACAAATAGTATGTTCAGATAAACTGTGTTCTAATTTCAGTATTTTATCCTTTGTTTAACCCACTCACTAATTGATTACTTTTGTTTTCCAAATTATCCATAAAAGCTCTTAGAACATTGCCTAGGCTTTACCTATGTAGCAAATATAAGCACCTCTTGATTTTCTTTTTTATAAATAAAGTGTTTATTTTACCAATTACCAAGTTTGCATCTGCTTTTCTTATTTGTAAATGTATAGATGTTGAAGAGCATAGACCTGTCTCGCTTGTATTCATGTGGAACTATTTATGATTTGAAAACATACTAAAAATATATCTTTGTTTAATACAAGTTAAAGTGTGCAAGAGCACACCAAGACATTCTCTGTTATCACCACAATGTTGCTAGCCCAAGTGATAATTGTGATTCTTTCTGTGATTTGCTGTTTCTTATAGTTTGTTACTTCCTTTTTTTTTTCTGAAAAAGACATATGATATCTCTTTCCTTAATACAAGTAGTGTCTCATTTATCCACAAATACTGATGAGCAGACTGGTCTATACTTCTCTACTCCCAAGATCATTGATAGCTTATTCCTCCTTCAGGAGCTTCCATCCCCTAAGAGGTGCCACTACTATGAGAACAAGAATAATTATATAGTACTGTATTCTTTGTATTATATTTCAGGTGTACAATGGTTTAAATTGGCTGATGTCGGAACCCTAACCACCATTTAGAATGTTGTCTTTATGGCATAATAGCAATCTGTTTATGACTTTTGGTGCAAAATTTGTAAGTTGAAGACTAGTTTTATAGATCATATGACCTACCAACTTGCTCACATATTGCATTATCCTTCAATTTCTCATGCCATTGAAGGAAAGGGCAATTTTAGGTGTCACATTTTCTTTTTTTTTCTTTTTTTTTTAATACTTATTTTTGAGAGAGAGAGAGAGACAGAGCATGAGCAGGAGAGGTACAGAGAGGGAGGGAGACACAGAATCAGAAGCAGGTCTAGGCTCTGAGCTGTTAGCACAGAGCCCGATGTGAGGCTCGAACTCACAAACTGTGAGATCATGACCTGAACCGAAGTAGGACGTTTAACCAGCTGAGCTACCCAGGTGCCCCAGGTTTCACATTTTCTAAAGCCACCATTCATTGAGCATTTTCTGTGTGCCAGACAATATCCTAAGCATCACATATGTATTATTTTACAGATGAGGAAACTAAGACCCAACAGGGGCTAAATAACTTGTCCAAAGATCACATAGCTGGGAAATATGTGAGCCAAAAGTTAAACTCAAGTCTGTTGGACCCTAGTGCTTGTACATTCATCTAGTGTGCTGTGCTACTTCCATCTTGTTAATGTGGATGGATACATTCTAAATACATTTAACTGCTAGATTGACAAAATATTTTTTTATGTTTTGTGTAGATGTGTGTTAAATAAACATAGGAATGTCTTCGATAACTGTGTGTCTTCTCTATACTTCCCAATATAAAGAAACCAGGTCCCCATATAATTATGCCTTTTTAATGTTTTTAGCCACCTGAAGCTACCCTTTAAGCTAACTTTTGTGTTATAAAGGGCAAGAAGGATTTAAAAGCTAAGAATTCACTACTCTGAACTAGCCTCTTTATGACAACTCTCACAATTGAGGCTTAGTTAGCAAATAAAATGCAGCAGACCAAGAAGCATTAGATAGACCTTCCAGAACATGGCAGTTGACCCTAAGAGGTTCCAGCAATTAGATGAAAGATGGTAAGGGCTGGAGGATGGCTGGAGGAAATTGGCATCAGTGAGGGCCAGTGGCAGATGGGCTGATGGTGAGAGTTCCACAAGCAGGTAGAACACAAATAAGGGTGGTGCAGTAGCCTGTGACTGGTTGGCAATCCTAAGAGACAGAATGTGACCAGGATATATGGAAACAGAGGGTGGGAGCCAGCCACAGCGACTGAGGTCCAGTGGAAAATGTGTCCTATAGGGAGGTAACAAAAGGGAGACAAGCTGTGAGATACACAGGAACTGGAGTAGAAGCAAAGTAGTAGTATTAATAATAATTAGTTATATTCAACATTTGTACAATATACAGTTTTTAAAGTTCTTCAATGCATTAAAAACTGTATATTGGGATTCTACTCCACACCAGGAACTAAGGATCCAGACTTGAATGAAACCCAGTCCTTGTCATCCCTGGAGGAATCACTATCTAGTAAGGAGAAGAACGTGTAAAAAATGACAATGCAGTGTAGTATATGCAATAATAGAATAATATCAAAGTTCAAAAATAAAACAGAGGAGCCATGAGCTCTACTTAGGAGTCAAAGAACTTTACAGAGAGGGATATAAAAAATGAGTAGCAATTCCCCATACAAATGAAGATAACTGAAACATTCCAACATCTGCACCAACCCAGGATATAAACATCATGGTGTGTTTAAGAAAGCACCCATAAATAGATATTAGTGAAGCAAAAGATCTGAAAGGTGACGATGAGATGAAATAAATGATAAGACTAGAGAAGTAGGCCTATAGAGTTTTGTATTCCATAACAAAGATCTTGGATTTTTATCCTGTTAGAAATGCAGAGTCATTGAAATGTTTTAAGCCAGAAAATGGCATAAACAATTTCATTTCCAAGACTCTTCTGAAGCCAGCATGGAGATGGATTACCTGAGGGAACCCTAGAGGCAAGGTGACCAGTCCAGTTCTGAAATGTTGCTATTGTCTAACAGAAAGATGATGTATGCCTGGGCTATGTCTAGAGGGAAGAAAAAAATGGAGTCAAAAAGTAGGAGAGAAGACTGTTAGGATTTGGCCATTGATTGTATGCAGAGAGTGGAAGGAAGTGAGGGTGAGAGAGAACTTCAATAGTACGACAAGGTTGAGATAAAAGACAAAAAGACCATTAGAGGAACTGAATTGTGAGATGGAGGCTCTGACTGACCTCAGTCCTCCTGCTTCTAGGAGCTAAGTGTCTCCAGCAATGATTATGATAAGTTCCTGGGTGGGGAGTTAAGCAGGCATCTCAAATATTCTGTTTCACAATAGTTATAGTAAAATGGCATATCCAAAGATATACCCTTGAATTATACTCAAGAAAGGAAGAAACTATTTTTCTCTCTATCTCTTCTTTCAACTTCACATCAAAGCTCAAAAGTTTCTGTTTACTGTCCTTCCACCCACTCACAAGGAATGTCAGTTTTAATCACCTGATGCATGAGTCTACCAACTGTAGATAGCCAGATGGTAAATAGCTTAGCTTTTGCCACCCCTGTCATAACTTTTGCATCTACTCAGCCCTGCCATTACAGTGCAAAAACAGCTATAGAAAATAGATAAATGAATGAGAGTGCCCGTGTTCCAATAAAACTTTATTTACAAAACAGGCTGGATTTGGCCTGTGGACCATAGTTGTCAACTTCTAACCTAACGGATGACTTTGTGTGCATGTCAGGAGGAAGGATTGAAGCAGTATGGAAAGACATTATAGCCTTTTAAATAAGCCTATATCTTAAAACCATTTAATGGCTTTTGTTACTAATAGGATAGAGTGCAAGCTCCCTAGTTTCGCAAGGACCCTGATCTAACAGTGAGCTGTATTCATCTAAACAAAAGTAGAGATATGTTTAGAATAGAATAGCAATGTTTCTTGTTACAATTACTTTCACGTGTGTGTATGTATGTATCTGTCGTTAATTAAGATCACATTCACTTTTTTCTTCTCTTACCCTGCCAGACTAAGCTGAGCTTAAATTTTCACATTTTAAATCATTATCAATAACAGTGATAACAGCTACCATATATAGATGCTTAGTTAGTCTCTGCCATTTTATAGACAAGAAAAGCAAGGCTCAGAAGTTAATTAAGCATTCCCCCAAAGTGCATTGATGCTAAATGGCAGAGCCACCATTTCCACATGGCCATCTATTCAGAGTCCACGATCTTAAACACTGTGTTATACCCCTTAAAGCCCAGAGAGAGGTCAATTATTCCAGAAAAGTAAATTGTTGAACAAATAATGAATAATTTTCTTAATTTTAACAATGACTCATTAAAATTATTATATGATAAATTTGTACAGCTATCACAGATAGGCTCTATTGGGAAATTACATAAAGAATTTAAGGAAATTGTATTCATACTGACATGTAGAATGCATGTTCTTAAATTCTCAGCTATCTAACACTTGATAATCTGGTCAAGTACTGATAATACATGAAGGGTGAGCCTGAATGCATGCATAGAATTAGAGAAAAGTCATGAAATTCTGAAAGTGGAATTTTAAAAGATCATATATACTTGATAAAATTTGGTAACTTAAAAAGAAATTTTCAAGGGTGATAACTTCATTTTTAAAATAATTCGGAAAGGTATACACATTTTAAACTGAAAACCAAACACTATTGTGTCCTTTTTTCCCTGGCCAGGCTGAAACACTTTTCCAGCAAATCTGCCCCAATGAAGATTTCTGTCCACCCCCACCAAATCCTGAAGACATTATCATTGATGGGGACAGTTTACAATCAAAGGCTTCAGAATCTAGTTTCATACCAGAAGCGAACTCTGAGACTCCCAAGGAAAGCGCAAGCCTGGAAAACCCAGAGGAGTCCTCTCAGTAATGGATATACACCAAATTGTACACCCACTTTGAAAATTCCTCCTGGCCTCAGAGTCTTCTTCATGGAAGAAATGTTTCAAAAATGTTAGAAAAAAGGGGCGCCTGGGTGGCTTAGTCGGTTAAGCGTCCGGCTTTCGCTTAGGTCATGATCTCGCGGTTCGTGGGTTCGAGCCCCGCGTCGGGCTCTGTGCTGACTGCCAGCTCAGAGCCTGGAGCCTGTTTCAGATTCTGTGTCTCCCTCTCTCTCTGACCCTCCCCTGCTCACGCTGTCTCTCTCTCTCCTAGAAATAAATAAAACATAAAAATTTTAAAAAAAAAAGATTTTTAAATATAGCTGGAAATTATCCATGTAAAAAAGAAAATGCCTACTGAACAAGATGAAATCTGCAAAACAGCTTGGAGCCAGGGAAGGAGAGGGTGAAGGACACTTGAAGAATGAACCTAGGAAGGGCCTACATTTATAAGGANCTCCCTCTCTCTCTGACCCTCCCCTGCTCATGCTGTCTCTCTCTCTCTCTCTCCTAGAAATAAATAAAACATTAAAAAAAAAAAGTTAAAAAAAAATTAAAAAAAAAATGTTAGAAAACAGCACCAGGTTGACATACATAATTACCAAGAGAACAGGGCATAGAAATCGGAAAGGGGATTTTCCTTGAAAAGGACATTGTAAGAACACAAAACACTTGTAAAGCACATTGGCTTGCCTGCTTTAAAATAACACACCTTTGGAATTAGCAGATGAATGTAAATGGATTGATTCCCAGGAATATACCTATGGATATGAAAGTGATCCTATGCATTGTTAATAATTCTGTGGTATTAGGAAAGCTTTTGATTACCACTTTGGGTCTTTGTTTGAAATCCACATCTTCAGAATCATCTGGTCACATACTTCCTTTATTTTAATTCTATTTTCTTTATATAAGGATATAAACATGATGGCACCAATGATTAAAGCACATGTGAATGTAATTGAGGAAAGCTAAAATATCCTGATCTAGGCAGGAGCCTATGTTTGGAATAGAGGTTTGTTTTGTTTTCTATCTTGAGAATTACTGAAAATGCCAATATTAAGGCACTCACTTTTACAAACAAATCATGAGTCCATTACTCAACATTTTTTAATGCTAGCAGTGCTATTTGTATGTGGATCATTTACACACTAGGAAGGTATATGGGACTGAAGGAATGGAGGCAAGATTTGGATATGTTCATCAGTATGTGGAAATTCTATCTAGTCAGGTAACTAGAGCTTAATTGTATATGGACCCAGTTTAGTCCTAGCTATATTACTGATGAAATTAGACAAATTGTTTATTTTGTCTAAAAATAGGGCTCACTTTCTCCATATGTAAGGTGGAAATAGTAACACACTACATACCTTAGGAGAATGATTTTGAAGATAATCATTTGACTCTTCAATCTTTTGAAGATAAATACAGTGCAATCCTTAAGATGGTTTTTCTGACAAGGGGGGTGTTTTCCCCTTGACTTGAAGGTGACTATCAAAAATCTCATGCAGCAAATTGTTTGCTGCCAACTCCCCCAATACAGTAGACCACAGTGGTTTTTTATTGCATTAAGCTTTTAAAATAAAACTATTTCCTAAATTAGTATTTTATAGTCTTATAGACCATAAAACATAGTAACATGGAATTGTGGTTTTGAGTCTTAATAAGGAAAGCACTATATAAATTCTCATATCATTTCTGGTAGGTAAACCTAAAGTCACTAAAGATTCTCAATACAGTATGACAATTGGTAAACCCTAATATACACTTAACATAAAAATCTTAGAGTTATACATAGCCAACAAACCTAGTTACAGTTACCATGACAATGTTAAAAGTTTTCCAGAAGCCAAGCTCTGATGATTTGCTTTTTTGAGCAATAGTTTGGATTTCATTTGTTTCAATAATTAAATACATAAAATGCTTATTGTGCATTCTGGCCTACATTACCAATCAGAGAACCATAGCTATAGTAGAAAGCACATAGTTCTTACTTCAGTTGCAGTGGGACTATGAGCTCTCTAGATTTTAGAGATCTTAAGGGAAGCTAGCTCTGTCTGGTCACAGACTTCTAGGAAATGAAAAGAACCAAGGAATATAGCCCTTGCCTCACCGTTCCAATCCCCTGTAGATATAACTGAATCCAGGTGAAAGGAAAACCTTCCCAGCCTCTCAAGCTGCTCTTAACTGTCTGCCCATTGTACAGCCCATCTCCTATCTTTTTGGACCCTTCTGTGTCTCTCTTCCCCTTTTATATTATGCAAATCAGGGATAGCGGAATCACATTATAAACTATTTTGTTAATAGATTGATCTTAAATCATGTTTCCCAAAATCAAACTTATGCAATGGTCTAAATGTACAATACATACCTAGAAGTACCAGGTATTGACCCTGCCCCTCAATACCAGCAACATGAAAGGTCACACTATATATGGAAGTATTGAGTCTGAATACAATTGCACCAATTAAAATACTGTACTTTGTTACAGTTTAAGAGTTAAGGCCTCTTGAATGCAGCATACACATTTATGTAAACAACCATTCAGAGTAAGCTCAGAATAATAACCAGAAAATTATGATAGCTTTACTGCAGCTATCTATATGTAGACAAGGAAGGGGGTATTTTGTGGTCTCATGGTCCAACCCATATTGTACCCTATTTTATCCATTAAGCATCCTCATAATCTCTCTTCCAGGTTATTTATTAAATACTATTGAAATATTTAAAGGTTCCTAAATATGATTAATGGTGATTAAAATATTACAAAACTGTTTAAAACATTTTGATAGAGAACCTTAAATATTTCATGTTGCCTCAGAATGTAATAGAAATTATTCTAAGAGCTTTCTTTTCAGCTTTCTTAAATTCTGCAAATAAATATTTTTTTATAGTTTTAAATCAAAGAAAAAACTTTTTGGTTTTGTTGTACAACCATAAGCCTGAAGTTATATGAATAAAGTGAATATGTTATATGAAATACAGAAGTTTCAATAGCTAATTTAAAATGTTAAACATTGTCAAAGAATTTTGATTCATATGTTTAAGATGTTTAGTTATGCATACTCTTTCACCAAAAATGAAAATACCACTCAGTTTAGTGATCTATATGAAAACCAATTACCCTGTGTTGCTACTGTGTCTTTGTCTAGTTGGAATGCCTACCCAAAAAAGTAGGAAGGAAGGAAGGAAGGTAGGTAGGTAGGTAGGTAGATAGATAGATAGATAGATAGATAGATAGATAGATAGATACTATAAATTTAGGTATTTTTCTATAGGAAAACTGAATTGCAATTTTTCCCATCTCCAGTGATACTTAGTTGCCCATAGTAAAATGGTTACATTAATAGTTAACTTCTAAAATGGTAGTTTCTGAGATTGACAGCCCTTTATCTGAAATAATGACTATGCTAATGAATAACTTCTGTCATAGCTATATTTCCCAAGAAGGTAGCCCTTTGCCTAAAGTCCTAAAGATCTCAAAAACTTTTGTTGAAGTTTGATTGCTAAATCATATTGATCCTTTAAAGCAATAATTAAATAATTTTCTCACAAATAAGTTATTTACTAATATTGATAGTAAATGAATTAGCTCTATTCTTGGTTGATTTTCTGATATGCACTTCAAAACCACAAATATGATTATTCATAATTTTCACACAATAACAGTTTTTAGAGGAAATAAAAGTCTGTTTTGATGACTTTTGGGCATGATTTCCTATTTTTCACTATTAAAAGTTTGCATATATGCCAAGAAACTAAAGATTTTCTTGGAACTGATTTATTTGTTGGTATCAGTCTATTATTTAAACAATTAATTGCCCAGTTGTATACTTGGTTTTGTTTCTAAGCATTTGTCAACAGTGTCAGGTTTGTGAGAAAGGCAATCAAATAATACATAGGTTAATTTACTTAGCAAATTGTTCTAGATGCCAGCATCAGACCTCATTCTGTATGAAATCAGTGCTGTGAGGCATGGGCTATGGTTTTATAGTATATTGATTGCCTACAAACTGTTTTCACATCTCAGTATCTGAGAATATGAAATGTTTTTCATATTTACTTGGTGAATGAGAACCTGAAGTGTTTTTCTCTTTGGTGGTTGAGTCCCTAACAACTTACTTGAAATAGGGACGCTGAGACTTCGGCTCAGGGCATGATCTTACAGTTCATGGGTCCGAGCCCCGTGTCGGGCTCTGTGCTGACAGCTCGGAGTCTGGAGCCTATTTCAGATTCTGTGTCTCCCTCTCTCTCTGACCATCCCCTGCTCACACTCTGTCTTGCTCTCAAAAATAAATAAACATTTTAAAAAAGTTTTTTTTAAAACAACTTACTTGAAGTAGATAATAGACTGCTGATGTTCTTTTTACACAGAAATCATTCACTGAACTATGATTTGCTCCTGAATCAAGTAATTAAAGCACAGTGACATTTTCTGCCAACTCCAGGTAGTTTCCTAAAGTATGTCAGATAGAATACATTCAAAAGATAACAGGACTCTTCAAAGCTGATGATTTATCTGTGAGATGATTCATAAATCAAATTTATGAAAAATAAGGTCAATTTAATTTTTAAACAAGTAGCTGTATTATCCTTCAAGCACCTTGGAGCTCATAGAATATTCACACTTTTCTTTTTAAACAAGTGATTTGATGTTTGAATTCTCCTCTTTAGTGGTGGATTTTTTAAAACATTCATTAAGTGGTTTAACACTTAGCCTCCCACATCACATTTTGAAGGCCAGTTTTCTTTCCATCAATATAGTTTAGCTGTGAGGCTGCAAGGACATGCCCTTCCCATACAAGTTGCCATGTCTGCTCTTCCTGGTGATGATGACTCTTAGGGCCATTTGACAGGTAATCATTAGAACTTGAATTCTAGTAGACTGGAGAGTCTTTTCACCTATCACTGCAGTGTGATTTATGCTGGTAACTCCTATTAATATTAATGGGACTTGCATGTGTAAATCCTCTTCCTCTCAATGATACAGTTGACCCCTAAAAGAAATATTCTTTAGACATGGACACTTGCTGATCTAGAAGCGATA